CAACTTCAACCACAGGTGGAGAATAAACACAGAAACAAAAAAACTTATCAGGTTACAAATAAAGAGCTGGTTTCCTCCCTAGAGGTCACAAAGTTTTTGATTGATTTGGGCCCCAAATGACAGTAATACAAATAGACGAGAAAGACAAATAAGCTAGATTCTCTGACTTCTCCTACCCAACTGAGAATTGATGTCAATCATCCATTTACAGGAATCACCAAATGGTCAGACTATAAAACCAAATTCCCAATCATCGCTGCCACAAGGGGGAATACCTTATAGACCTTGCAGAGAAACAAAAATAGAGTCAAAATCAATAGAGGGAACACAAGTAGAGAAACTGTTTGGCATTCACTCCAAGAACCCAGGAAAAATATGCCCCATTGTAAGCCCACCCATAAAGTGCACTTCTCTGGCAATCAAGTTTACCTGACTCCATGAGGTAAATCAATGGCACATCTCAGTGGAGCCTCCAGAATTATTAAAGTATAATTTTTATAGATAAAATCATGAATTTCATAAATATATAAAATGAACACATGTCAAAGATTTTATTTAATTCATTAATAAACAGTTGGTTTAAAGGAGAATTCAAAGAACATACTCATAGAGATAATTAGGAATGCTGAGATAAATTTGCTAATAGATGCAAAACTGCTTTAAATCCACAGGCAAATAATCATTTATATTTCCACGGACAGAATTAATTTGCATTTCTTTGAATAATAATCTTGTTTACCATCAGTTTTCTTAAGCTTAAATGTTTTTAGGATTTCAGTTTAATTCCAGTTAGTTAACATACAGTGTTATATTAGTTTTAGGTGTACAGTGTAGTGATTCATCACTTGCGTACATCACCCTGTGCTCATCATAAAGGCACTCCTTAATCTCCATCACCTATTTCATCTATTACCCCCTCCTCCCCTTTGGGAACCATCAGTTTGGTCTCTATGATTAAGAGTCTGTCCCTTGATCTCTCTCTCTCTCTCTCTCTCTGTCTCTCTCCGCCTCTCCCTCATTCTCTCTCTCCCTTTCTCCCATTTTTCCCCTTTGTTATTTGCTTCTTAAATTCCACATATGAGTGAAATCATATGGCATTTATCTTTCTCTGAGTGACTTATTTTATTTAGCATTATACTGTCTTGCTCCATCCATGTTGTTGCAAATGACAAGGTTTCATTCTTTTTATAGCTGAATAATATTCCATTTCTACAGCTTAATTTTTGTAAAATAGCTCAAAGCTGATGAAACACACAAAGAAACCAGAAGGTTGTGCCACACTGGACATCCAATAACCTTTGTTGCCCATTTTAAAGTCTTTTGCAACTTGTCTAACGTTGTTTGTTCTTATCTGAGTTGCAGAAAAGGCCTTGCTTCTTCATCCCATCTTTTATCTTTTTCCTGTCTGACCCCAGCTTTCAGAATATCAGACAGAGATCCTTGTTGCTTCTATAGATAGATAAAAACTTAAAAACAATGATGATTCTCGGCCTTTATGGCTATGTCTGGTACAAGCTTTCCCTCTGTCACAAGAAAGATGAAGCATTCCTTCATGTTCAAAAAGAATGAAAAGGGGCATTCAACAACAGAGAGGTTTGGTGATGGTGGGGGTTTTTTTCCCAAGAAAAATAAAATACTTCCATTCATTTAGCAACTTTGTAATGAGCATATCTGCTTTCAAAACTCTGTGTCATAACCTTCAAAGCCCTACAGGTATGGCTTCTGCCTGTCTCTCCAACCTCATCTGATGCCTCTTTCCCACTCATTGTCTTTTTAGTTCTAGACACATTCTTTACTGATTTATAAACTTTCATATGTACTCCCTCTGCCTGGTTTTCTCATCTCCTCACACTTCATATGGCTGAATCCTTCTCATCCTCACCACCTCTTTCAAAATGGCCTTTCCTTATCCTCTACCCCACCCAATTATTCTCTATCCCAGCACCCACTTATTTCTTTTCTAGCATGTACCACACTTTATAATTATTTTATTTGTTGGTTTACTTATTTTAGTCTGTCTTCAGCAGTTAATTACAATAGAACATCTTTGTGTCAGGAACCATGTCTATCCTTCTTCACCATTAAATCTCAATCTATAGCACATATAGAATCCCTGATGTATAATACTTGTTGAATAAGGAATGAATAAATGAAAGGAATGTGCCATTCACTAAGGATTTATTTTATATATATATATATATATATATATATATATATATATATATATATAAACCTTATATAACCTTATATATATATATATGCTTACAAACTATATAGTCCAGTAAAGGATATAAACCAGTTACCAGGCAGTTGCAATATAACCTATGTATGTGATATCAGAAGAACACAGTGTTATAATGGCACATAAGGTCTGGAGATTTCTACTTCTGCTATGATACAGTGGCTTATTTGGACCAACCCTCCCACCAAGAGCAACTATAAAAGCTATATAAATTTTAAAATTTTTTAGAGAAGAAAAAATAGGTGTCTGAAGAGAGCAACCAAGATAGCCAGGATTTAAGGCACCAAGATCTCAAAGAAAAGCAAACAACAAGAAAGTAACACTAGAATTCTCTGCCACATTTTTCCTCAAGGCATTTACTAATTCCTAAGCCAGAGGAATGAGAGGCAGTGTAATGGTAGAAGAGACCAAGAAGCCAACCATAACAGAGTTGATAAGAGGCTAAGAAAATAAACAGAATTTTAACAGTCTTAGGAGTTCAGGACCTGCAGTGGAGGAGGGGCCCTAGCAAATATCTCAGACTCTTAGTTTAAGCCTTTGAAGTGCTCTAGGAATATGGACAAACAGGAAATATAACAGCCTTAGCAAAGACTGGAATTTTTTAATCAGAAAGACTGTAGGTATGGAAATGCAGAAAGGACTAAAGAGCAAAAGAAAGTGTTAATATGTGGGTAAATGTAAATGACTATTAATTGTATGAAATAATAATGTCTTATGAGGTTAAAATAAGTTTGCATATAAGTATTAGATATTAAATTATAAATAGAGTATATATTGCCTTGTAATATATATAGAAATATATAATAGTTATATATACATACATATACACATGCGTACTAAAAATGTGTATAAAACATATGGTACATCATAGCACAAAAAGCCGAGAGGAATAAATGGAGTTAGCATATTTTAAGTCTCCTGCATTGTCTGGGAAGTAATAAAAATGTCAAATTATAGTATACTATAATAAGCCAAGGATGCATATTTTAATCTCTAAAATAACCACTGAAATAATAATAAAAGAAGATGTAACTAAATAAGCTAATAGAAGAGAAAAATTTTAATAACAAAAATGGTGAATTCAGAAGAAGGCACAAAAGAAGAAAAGAGGAAATAAAAATAGAAGTAACAAATAGTTGGGTGATAGTCTTAAACCCAAATGTAGCAGAAATTATATTAAATGTAAATGGACTAGATGCTCTGATTAAAAATTGTCATTCTGGATTATGAAAAGACAATAAACTGTATCATGGTAATAAAAGGCCCACCTCAAACAGAAAGATACAGCAAATTGAAAATAAAAGATTAGGGAAAACAATGCAATAAAAAATAGTTGGTATGGCTGTATTAGTATCAGAGAAAATTAAGGTAAGCAAGATTGTAGATTATTGGGAAGGACAGTTCATATATTTAAATGGATCAGTTCATTAGAAAAATATAATAATTCTAAAGCCATATCTAATAACATAGCCTCAAAATAGATATAAACAAACTATTGTCCAAGTCCAGCCTTGAGAATTAAGGGGAGGCTGAGAAGATAAGTGAGACTGAGATAAGCTGTGGAGAGAGGAAGGTAGAAAGAAAGAGTATTCCTAGACAGGAATAAGAACATTTTCAAGGAATGGAGGCAAGAAAGTTTTAGAAACTGAAAATGACATAGTCTTGCTGGAATGCAGAGAGAGACAGAGAGATTGAGACTGAGGAATGGGCTTAGATGGGAAGAGGATTACCTGATGAGAGCAGTGATTGGTAAAAGGGGGCTAGAAAATACAAGAATCATAGATATGATATTAAAAAGATGAGACTTTTTCCTGGAAACCAGGAAATTTTGAAGTATTATATGGTGACTTGATCAGATTTGTTTTCAGGAAATCTCTCTTACTACTGTTGGGGGAATGAATTGGAGGAGGGCAGGACTTTTGACAGGGAGACATATTTTAGTAATCCAGGTGAGATGATGTTGGCTGAGGCTATGGAGATAGAAGAGAACAGATTTTTAAACTAAAGTATCCTAAGCTTGTGCAATATTTAAATTTTAGTAAGTGACTAGATTTACTCATAGATTAATGAATAGGAAACTCAGCAATAGAGCTAGAGGTTGAGAAATTTAAAGACAGCAGGGTCTTTAATACACATTTAATACACATTTGGAACAATTAAACTCCCTTGACTTTCTGTTTGACAGCTCCCTCCCTATTTTTTATTTTAGTTGACTTATTTAGATTTGGCTATCTGTGGGCAAGTGTCCAAGTTGTTCCTCAAGGAATTTGTACGTTAGGTCCATTATGTAGAATAATATAGTATGCATACATGTGGTTTCCCTGCCCCAGCACAACTTTTTAAGCTTCTTATTTGTTAACATCCTTTCTCAGACATAAAATTCTATATTAAAAGAGAAACAATAACCCATCAAGTAATGATTTATATGTTAATGTGGTTATTTGGTTTATTATCTAAGTAATTGTACTAGGATGTATTTTTTATGAAAGCAGGGACATTGCCTCTTTTATTCAAGCCTATATCCCCCTGTACCTAGATTAGTACTCAGTATATACTAGGTAGTCAATAAATATTTATTGAAGAATAAATGACAAGAATGAAGAGATGAAGGAATATGTGTCTTAAGTAAATCAACTTCACTAAAATAAAGTGTTTCTTTTCATTTCAATCTTATAAATTCATTTTATTTTCATTTAAAGTTTTGAAAGTCTGATATTAGAATGTTTGAAAGTAAACTGATTATTTTTCATATTTGCAGGACTATCTCAAGCAGGTGCTGGACATTGATCTTCATGCTCAGATCCATTTTGGCAGGGTTTTTATGAAACCAGGGTATGAAAATAATCTTGTTATCTCATTTATATTGGCTTACTTTGACTAACAAAGTTTTAAATGTTTTCTTTTTACATTTTCTATTATGGATTATTTATTCCAATAAAAGAAATATTATAGTATTAGAATTCCTTGCATCAGGTTAGCTCCTATCTGAAATGGAATTCATCTTCCTTATGAGTCACTGGTTTATTATAAACAAAGCAAAGCAACTCTCCAAACCTTTTTCTCTGTAGTTCCCATGTCTAGTTCCTTCTTTCTCTTTTTCTCTTTCTCTCCATACTGCTGCCTTCTCTCCTTTTAAAAACATTTAGTATGAAAATTCTCCAAATGCACAAAAATAAGGAGTATAATGAAAACACCATGTACGTATCACTTACCTTCAATAACTATCAACATTCTCCCATATTATTTTATCAGTCCTCCCTCACCTTTTTGAGGGGATAGAGGGCTAGATTGTTTGTTGGGTTTTTTTTTTTTTTAATTGTTTTAAAGCAAATTCTACAGTATCATTTTGGTATATATCTCAATAATAACAATAACAGCAGCATTCGCTTAAGTAATCACAGTGGTATTTCTCACCTAACAAAACAACAACAACAACAGCAGCACAATAATAATAATACCTTAATATCATCCGATACCCTGATCATATTCAAAATTCTCCCAAATGTTAAGAAAAAGAATGTCTTTGGGGAAACTTGATGGCCCAGTTGGTTGAGCATCCAACTCCTGATTTTGACTTGGGTCATGATCCCAGGTTGTGGGATTAAGCCCCATATTGGGCTCTGTGCTGAGTGTGGAGCCTGCTTAAGATTCTCTCTCTCTCTCCCTCTCCCTCTCCATCTCTCCCTCTATTCCTCTATCCCTCTCCCTCTCCCCCTTCCTCCCTCTGTCCTTTTCTCCAGTTTGTATTCTCTCTCTGTCTCTCAAAATAAAAAAATAAATTAAAAAAAAAGAATGCCTTCTTACAGGTTTTATTTGAATGAGAATTAATCAGGTCTACACACTGTATTTGGTTGTTAAGTCTATATTGAATAAGAACATTTACCTCTACCCTCCTTTTTTTTGCCATGCCATTGACTTGCTGAAGAAACTGAATAATTTTCCTAATGAATGGATTTGGCTAATGGCTCTGTTGAGGTGGTGATGAACTTGTACCTGTCTGTCTTTCCAGTATATTCTATAGACCAGAAGTCAGATCTAAAAGCTTAATAGATTCAGATTCAATTTTTCTTCCCTTTGCAAAAATATTTCATGAGTACTCTTTTATACTGCTTCTTACTACCTCCCAGGAAAAAGAAAAATAACCACATACCAATATCTGGCACATCTCCTAAAGCTAATAACTCCCTAAGGAAGGGCTGATGGAGGTTCTGTAATCAGTTGTAAATCCTCAAAGAATGCCACATTGGTGTTGATGAAATATGTGTAGCCATGTCTTTAAGCAATAGTTTGCCTGTTCAAACCTGTTACTCTATAAACCTTTCAATCCCCATTCAAAGGCTTCAGCGTATAGGAGAGCATTCTAATTCTAGCACGCCTCTATGCCGTCAGGGACAACAGTAATAATGCTTTCATTCAGAATTATACTCTGACGGGTATTCGTGTGAGCCCTAAGAGAGAGTGGAGGGGAGACATCAGTTGTTACAAGTGAGCTATGGGAACCATCAATAAATTCCAGAAACTTTTTTAAGCATCAAGGCATCCCTCCTCAACTCCCCAATTTACTGGGTACCTCTCATCAGGTCTAGGATTAGGCGTTACCACCATGATTTTACCATTTAAGTATGAAGTTAAGATTAACCCTTAAGTCTTCTCCACAATTTGATAGAATGTAGAATTCTTGGCATTATATTTCTGTAATTGCCCACATCTGGCTACTGCTAACAAAGCCCTTTCATTATTGAGACTGTTGAATTTGGATCATTCTCATTAAGAATATTTTGTCTTAAATAAACATTATTATGCTTTTTTTCCTGTTCACAGTGCACAGGCATTTTTTTCCCGTTCCTGTATGCAGTACTAATTTGATTAGAATATAGAGGACATCTCAAAAGCATGTCAGTGTGCTTCTCACTAACCTCAAAAATTGAATTGACTATTCTTTTCATAATGAGAAAGAAGCTGATATTAGTTACCCCCACCTCTAGAGGGGAATTGTTTGTAATATCTATTATTTAAATTAATCTCAGCACCTGTGATGTATAATTTTGGTACTATTTTTATTTTCAGTTTATTTTTTTACCACTTCAACTTAATGCTCTCATCAGTTGCTAATGTTTATTATTCTCCTCCCTTAAAGTCATAACACTCTGCAACCTCAGTCATTGTATAAATCTGTTACATTCTGGTATCAAGAGGAGAATTGAACAACAAGTATTGAGTTAGAAGGAAATGGCTTTCCAGAACTTAAACGAAAGTTTCACACCCTAGTGATAAAACACTCATGATAGCAATGCATGATAAAATGTTTTGTTGTAATGGAATCTTTTTTAAATGAATACCTTTAGAGAAATCACAGTACCTGTCTCCAAGTTGTAAAAGATCATTTAAATTGGCTTTAAATATAATAGAAGGAAAGTATTACGCATTCCCTCCTCACTCTTATTATGTGTGTTAGTTTGCTATAATAAAATGGTTTAGAAGTTTAAGTGGGCTTCCTTTTACTTGGCCAGAATTTATACTTGTCTAAAGATAAGAATTTAAAGGTAATTGCTCCTTAATAGTAGAATAAGAAGAAATATAAAAAGCTCAAGAACAATTTAGCTTTGCTCTTCCCACATACAGTGCATTAAGAATGTAATTAACTTCTTTCATTTTAGACACAGAGATACTCAAAAAGACATTTGGAGTATTATCAATCAGGACTACCAATCCCAATTCTATAGGTCATCTACAGTGAACATAGCTGTTGTCAGGAGTGTATCTTGGAAATGATTTTCATCACACAATAACAGTCATTGCCAAATAACCTATTCATAAATTGATATGATAACCTAATCTAGTTTTTCTAAAATACAGCAAAGAATCAAGAGTATGCAAAAAGGGCCTTGGGGTAGCCAAAATAGATGTTACAAAGTATACATACTTAACACTTCACAGCAGACCCTCTGATAGCCTTGTCCAAATATGAACCATAAAATCAGAAAAATCTTGGTTCAAATCTTTGTTTTCCCATTTAATAGCTAAGTGATTTGAGCCAAATTTCTTAATCTCTGAGTCTTAGTTTCCTCATCTATAAAATGGGATGATACTTGTTACCACAGGGGATTGTTGTCAGAGTTAAATGAAATAATGGAGGTAATGCATGGATATTTCTTTAAAAATAATAACTTCTCTTATTAGTATTATTATTATCATTCTGACAATATAATTATTACTACTACTCACTGGTTCCCAAACTTAAAGCCAAATTTAGGGGACAAGATGATGGAGCCTAGCATGAAGGGAAGCCACAGAAAAAAACTAAGGGGAAAAAAAACAAGAACCTCAGTGTGTGGGATGGAATTATGGTTTATAGGTGAAAACAATACGTAATATACCCTTGTGACCCTACATCACTGTAGTACAGCAGAGTAGAATAAGTTAATAATGATGGTTGTGAATCATCAAAAAAAATGTTAATGTTCATCATATTATATTATTGCAAAAGCTAATGAGTGGTCCATTTTTGAAAGATCAAGTTGCAAAAATAATAAACTAAAAACAATTTGGGTACTTAAAAAGATAATTTTTCAATTACATGCAAATTTTAACATTCTTTAATGATTTTACATTTTTCAAGTTTCATTGTTATAATGAAATTTTAAGCTAAAAGTTTATAGAAAGCATAGTCAATAGAAAAAGAATCACTATTCTTACTTACACTTCAGCCCTCTCCCACGGCCCCATAATAAGGAATCACGTCAGAATCTTGAGGAAGTATAATTTGTAAATATTTTTAAGTAATATTGCTTTAATTTTGTTCTAGTCTAGTCTAGTATTTTATTTATTTTGACATTTCAAAAATTTCCCTTCATAACATTGTTTATGTTTATTGCTGAGTACAGTATTAAATGGTTGAGGAATACTCATCTTGAACAACAGGCAGTTATCTGGTAGACATGTATCACCAGCTGGTCTTCCCGTAATAAGAATGATTGTTGTAGATCTCCAGCAAAAATAGTATGAACATTATTAACTAGAAGGGTAGAGAAACTCCAGGATTTGAGATATATTTCTCTGGCACTAGCAGGAAATGGGGGCCGGTGGGGGGGGGGGGGGGCAGAAGCAAGCTATAGAAAACCAGGAAGTTTCATTACTTGAAAACAAAGATGCTAAAAACAAATTAATTTAAATGCTTTTGAAACACTTCATGGTATAAAGGTTTAAAGAAGAGTCAAAAGAAAAGTATTTTTATATGACAAATATTCTATAGGGAGAGCCACATAGCAAGAAAACTGGAGTACTTAATTTACTTATCATATTACTTAGCAGTCACTAACAAATAACCTCTTTTATTCTCTAGCCTGCCAACAACATTTGCAACCTTAGATATTGACGGTGTAAGAAAAATAATCTTTGCACTACCAGGTAAGAATAATTGAAAGAGTTTCTTTTGCTTTTTCTATAAAAATGATCAAAATCCTTTTGATCCCAGATGACCAGTTTCCTATCAGAGCACTCAAATTGGAATCTGGAAGACCTGGGCTCAAGACCCAGCTTTACTACTATATGACCTTGTACAAATCACATAACCTCTTTGAAGCTGTTTCTTCGTCTGTTAAAATGGAGCTAAAATCTACTTTGTAGGATTGGTAATATAGTATCTATTACTATATCAGATAGTATCTTTCAAAGTATATTACAAACCATAACCAAGTGTTAGCAGTCACTACATCTATCTGGGGTACCTGTTTTTCCTTATAGCAGATTGGTCAAAGTTAGCAGTTTAATCACCTCCCATAACGAGAAGCACTGTGTTCAAAGGTCCAAAGGGCCTTGAATCACCCATGAAAGTAAATGGTAGAACAAAAAAATACAAAGCTGGCTTTGGTCCTTACCAGATTTGGACTGGGATGGGGCAGGTAACGTAGAAGGAGAGGCTACCCGTGCTGGGTTTCTCAGTCAAACCCCAGACTTCGTAAGCCTGACCATATCACCGTCCCCATCCTCGCTCCTGTGTGAACAGAAGCTCACGTGTTCAGATTGTAGAAAAAGCAAAGTGGTTCCATTTATAAGACTTTGAAAGTCAGTTTTTTATTGATTTTTGGCTTGCAGTTAAAGACATGCTTTTAAAGTCATTACCAATCTTGATAAATTCTAAAGCAGTTTAGAGGTTTTGTGTATCTACTTGTTATTTTTTTCAGCTTTTAAAATTATCCTTTGATCTGTAGCAGTGTCCCATTCTCTATTTCTTGGGACAAATTCCGTCAGAAAATAACCTGCTTATTCCTTTCAGATGCACAAATCTGGTGACTTTGGGATATTTATCTGCTTTTGATATTAAATAAATCTCATAACAGTATAAAAAAAAGGAAGACAGAAAATTTTGAAAAGCATTTTTTGGAGTTTTGAGTTTTCAAAGCATTTCTAAAGTTCCTATCTATACACATAAAAGATTAGGTTTCTATCCTATAGGAAATTTTAAGAGAGAAGACATGTAAGTGAAGTAGGCCTCAAAATGTATCTATAGTAAAAACTCCTTAGGGCCTTTCAAGTACGTGTATGTATACTTAGACCCTCTGGAAAAAATGTCATTCTCTTCCTGGCTTCATTTTGCCTAGAAAAGACTGTTACTTTGTCTACAGAAGACAGGCCTTGCCCTATAGACAAAGAATGTTATACTGGTAGCCTGCTTTGACATTACTTATGAACTATTGTTCATCCACCAAAGAAGTTATAATTAAATAACCTATTTTCAAATTGCTACTTTCATTTGAAATTTTCTCTGCCCAGCCAGAATGAACCAAAAGAGGGCAGCAACAACCCAGATGTTCAGATTGCAGAACCAGTGAGGTGGTTCCTTTTACGAGGATTTTAAATTCATGATTGTATTTCTGCTTTCCTGAAGGCCACACATTTAAACTGTTTACTAATCCTGATAACTTTTTTTTTTTTTTTTTGAGAAAGAGAGAGAGAGATAGTGTGAGCGGGGAGGGACACAGAGAGAGGGAGACAGAATCTGAAGCAGTCTCCAGGCTCCCAGCTGTCACCACAGAGCCCAATGCAGGGCTCAAACTCACGAACTGTGAGATATTGACCTGAGCTGAAGTTGGACACTTAACCAACTGAGCCACCTAGGAGCCCCTAATCTTGATAACTTTTAAAGTGGTTTAAAAGATTGATATATCTACTTGCCATTTTTTTAACTTTTTAAAATTACTATAATAACACATGTTCACTATAAAAACATTAGAAAATACAGGTGTTAAGAAATGTTATCAGTAGGGGCACCTGGATGGCTTAGTCGGTTAAGCGTCCGGCTTTCGCTTAGGTCATGATCTCACGGTTCATGGGTTCGAGCCCCGCATCGGGCTCTGTGCTGACTGCCAGCTCAGAGCTTGGAGCCTGTTTCAGTCTGTGACTCCCTCTCTCTCTGACCCTCCCCTGCTCACGCTGTCTCTTTCTCTCCTAGAAATAGATAAAACATTAAAAAAAAAAAAAAAAAAAGAAATGGTATCAGTAATCCCTTCCCCACACACACAAAATAACCACTATTTGCAATTGTTTGCAGTCCATTTTTAGAGTAATTTTATAAAGCAGCATTGTTATAAGAATGCTATAATCGTTGCTAAACAATAGTTTTTTGTTTTTTGGGTTTGGTTTTGTTTTGTTTTATTTTGTTTGTTTTTTGCTTTCCCAGAAACATGTTCATCTGTGTATTTTGAGACAGGTGAAAAGCAATTAATTATCATTAAGGGTCTGCTGTGCTGTTGGACAATTCATTTTTCTATTGAAATTATTACTGTTACTCATCACATTTTGCAGCTTTAAAAAATCTATTCTTAACTACTTTTATAGGTAGAAGAAAATTAAAGGTATGGTTTTAGCTAATAATAGCCTAAACCATTGCCTTTTACTTTGATGATGCAATTAGCAGCACAAGCCAGGCCAAGGGAACCTAAAAAATCTAATAGTCGATCCCCAATCCTCAACGTACATGTACATGCTTGATACGACTGGATAAAAGTATTAGTAAAATTGGAATTTTAGACCCAGGAGGGATATTGAGAGACATATAGTCCAAACCTTTCATTTTGGGAAGAGTAAAATTAGATTCAGAAAGGTCTGGAACTCAGCCAGGCTGCTCAGTTTGTTTAGTTAATAATACCACATAAGAAACGATATCTGTGATTCTCAGCACATTTTTTTCATAGCCCACCTTTCCTTCCCTTGAAGTGCATGACATACCCAGATTTCTTCTTGAAGAGATACAACTGAATCCTTCAAGTTTTGCATATAATTTTAAAAGAACTTGGTGTTTGGGATAGTCTGCCCAGACTGCCATAACAGACTATCACAGACCAAATGGCTTAAACAACAGAAATCTATTTTCTCACAGTTCTGGAGACTAGAAATCTAAGATCAAGATGCCAGCAAGGCTGGCTTCTGTTGAGTCTTTCATCCTGGCTTGCAGATGGCCAACTTCCCACTGTGTCCTCACCTGACTTTTCTTCTGTGTACACGCACTCCTGGTGTTTCTCCCTCTTTTTATACAGACACCAGTCCTTGGTTTGGGACCTCATCCTTATTACCTCATTTAACTTTGATTACCTCTTTAAAGGCCCTTGTATCTACAAATACAGTCATATTGGGTGTTAATTTCAACATATGAATTTCCAAGGGACATAATTCAGCCTGTAACAGTATTCCTCTTCAAGTCCTTTGCATCTTAAATCATTTAGTTTTATTTTTTTAATTTAAGGGGATTTCTGGGCAGGGAGCAATTATGGATATGTTTCTTTATGCTTAATGTATTTTCTAAATGTTTTTGTACAGAGCATGTATTATTATGGCGATTTTAAAACGTTAAAAAAAATAGCAAGTACAATCTACTTTAAAACTTAAAAAGATTAGTAATGACTCTCAATGTATAGTTCCCAGAAAGGTGGAAGTAAATGGTATTAAACAGTTTCTGGGAATCAGAAGTTTCTGCATTTCACTGGTAGACAAATGTTGACACCCTCTGTGGCATTTGGCTGACTGTAGCCTATTCTGTCATCCTTCAGGATTTAAGTTGATTTAGAAGATTAGGATGTAGTGGTTAGTCACTTCGCTCTTTATGATGCCTGAAGGTATAGACAGTCATAATTATTTGGCAAATTTTTATATGTATACTGTAAATAACTGCTTGGTTGACTTTCAGGGAATCCTGTGTCAGCCGTGGTCACCTGCAACCTCTTTGTTGTGCCTGCACTGAGAAAGATGCAGGGCATCTTGGATCCTCGGCCAACCATCATCAAAGCCAGGGTAATGTTTTCTAAATGACCAGGAACCAAAACTGAAGCCTAATAACAATTAAAGATATGATTTTCCAAATGCCCAAAATAAACATCTGGAATTTTATATTCGTTTTGAGGGAAAATGTAGTTCTGTTCTCCCCATCATGACAGAAATGGAAGGAAAAGTGTCCCATTTATTCTCAGCCCACATTATTCCACAGCTTCTAAAGTAAATAATTTTTTCTGGCTAAAATCCATAGGGAGGTGGATATGTAATGATAAAATGGTAAATAGAATGAGACTGGCACTACCCTAAAACTAAACCTATATGGAAGAGGGGACAAGAATTCCCTTTCAGCTGTGTAAACTCACACAGGCCAGCTATTTATCTGCTCACTTTTCCTGGGACCTCACTGATAAATTTTAAACAATTCAGAAAAAGACAGTCAAAGGACTAGAAGGAGACTAGTGAGTCAGAAGAAAAGGGAGACCACATTGTTTGGAAAAGAACAATAAAGCTGAGAAATGATGCTTGAAAGGCCACTTGGAAATTAGAGTCCCCTTCTCCACCAATACTAACTTCAGTTTGATTTATTACTATTCAACTAATTATGTAACACAATTTCTGAATACTTATAAATTCTGAATAATTTTCTTGGTAATTTGACCTACAGCATCAAGCTATTGCTTGTTTTAAAAGGTTGTTTGAGATACAGTTTGTAATTGCACATATTTAATGTATACATTTTGATGAGACTGGACATATCCTTATACCCATATCATCACCACAGGCAAGGTACTAACCTATTCATCACTTCCATAAGTTTTCTTGTGTTCTTTTGTGTTTTGTTTGTTTATTTGTTTCATTTGTGGTATGAACATTTAACATGAGAACTACCCTCTTAACGTATTTTAAAGTGCAGAATACCACGTTGTCAACTATCGGTACTGTGTAGTACAACTGATCTCTAAGACTCATTCACCTTGTATAAGAGAAAACTTATACCCACTGAGTAACAATTTCCCGTGGCCCCCCTCCCCTCAGCCTCTTGACAATCACCATTCTACTCTCTGCTTCTAGGACTGTTTGCTTGCTTGCTTGCTTGCTTGCTTGTTTGTTTGTTTGTTTGTTTGTTTTGAGAGAGATAGAGAGCACCCAAGTGGGAGAGTGGCAGGTAGAGAGGGAGAGAATCCTGACCAGGCTCCACACTGTCAGCGCAGAGCCCAACGTGGGGCTCAATCCCATGAACCAAGAGATCACGACCTAAGCCGAAATCAAGAGTCAGTTGCTTAACTGACTGAGCCATGCAGGCGCCTCTGTGACTAACTATGTTAGATACTTCATATAATTGGAATCATGAAGTATCTATCCTTCTGTGACTGGTTTATTTCACTTAGCATAATGAACTCTAGGTTTACCATGTTGCTACAAATCATAGGAATATCTTTCTTTTTTTAAAACTAAATAATATTTCATTGCATTAATATAGCACATTCTCCTTCTCCATTCATCTGTCAATGAACATCTGAGTTGTTTACATATCTTGGCTATTATGAATAGTGTTACAGTAAACAAAGGAGTACAGTTATCTCTGAGATCCTGATTTCAGTTCTTTAGGATATGTCTTTTCAAGTCCTTTGCCTATTTTAAAATCAGGTTATTTGTCTTTTTGCTATTGAGTTATAAGAGATTCTTATATAGTTTGAATATTAATCCTTCATCAGATAGATGCTTTGAAATATTTTCTCCCTTGCTTTTTCACACTGTTGTTTCCTTTGCTATGCATAAGCTTTTTAGTCAGATGTGGTTCCACTTGTCTGTTTTTTATTGTGTGGATTGTGCTTTTAGTGTCAAATCCAAGAAATCATTGCCAAGACCAATATCAAAAAGCTTTTCCTGTATGTTTTCTTGTATTTTTCTATTTCAGGTTTTTCATATAAGCCCTTAATCCATTTTGAGTTGATATTTGTGTATTGTGTAAAGAAGGAGTCCAAATTTAATCTTTTACTTGTATGTATCGATTTTTTCCAGGAGTTAAACTGTTACTTTTCAAGAGCTTTGAAATAAATTCTGATATGACACAATGCTATGATTAGTTGACAGGAAGAACACAAGGCATAGAGGAGGAAAAAGAAATATTAATAAAATATTATTTTGAGAATGTATAGGATAAAACATTAAGAAAACCTAAGCTTCAAATATTCTTTCTTTAAATTAGTTTTTTAATTTTTATTTTTGAGAAAGAGAGAGACAGAGTGCAGCAGGGGAGGGGCAGAGAGGGAGACACAGAATCCGAAGCAGGCTCCAGGTTCCGAGCTATCAGCACAGAGCCCAATGCAGGGCTTGAACTCACAGACTGCGAGATTATGACCTGAGCCAAAGTCAGACACTTAACTGACTGAGCCACCCTGGTGCCCCTAAGCTTCAGATATTCTTAACATTGACCTTTTAAATATTGAGATTTTATAGACTAGCATATGAAAAGATATCCTCCTTTTCCTAAAATTTTAGTTAAAGCTCAACTAGATATTCTGAAAACAAATTATTGGGGGATTTTCCAATAATCATGGTGGTGGTCTTATTTTAAATTTAATGGAAAAAGAAGAAAAAAAAGCCTCAGTAAACAAAAAGTATTCTAGTCAAACCAGAAAGTCAGAGTCCTAAAGCTTAGACATCTAAACCAGTAATATGAATTTGCTCACCATTTTCATATTTGCTAAATTTAGAAAATAAGAAAAATCTCCATTGTTATGAGAGAAAAAGAGGATTTCTCTTTGACTCTGCAAAAGTTCTTATGAATTCTTTCATTTATTTCTCATTTTAACATTCATTATCTCTTGTCTAAACCTGACATTGTGGCAGCTATCCTTTCTGACAACAATGATGAGCTAGCGCTCTCTAATCACACTGATTCATGGTACCTTGTTCACACTGCTGCTCATTCCTGTCAACTCATGGAATTGAGAATTAGTCTAAGAATCAGTCCAACTCCTTTCTCCCACAGAGCAGTGTCACTGGGACTGTCAGAACGGATCATTAGTGTGCTTGGCTGTTTACTTCTTTTTGTTTTAACTCCTAAAATCACCCTCACACCTTTCCTGACATAACTGTCACTTTTAGAACATAACTTTATCCACTTCCTTGAAACGTGGTAAAGCCTATTGTCTCTATTTTCTGACCATCCAATATGCAGCTTACAGACACCACTTATTACTGTTCTCCAAAATGGCCACCATAATCACAGCCTCTCCCAATCCTTACTGCTTTCAGAAAGTGAGGTAGTTGTTAAATGCTGGTGTCAGTAACTCATAGTGCTGAATCTGATACAGCTATCCTGTGGTTAGGGCAATGCTGCATTATTTTAAAAGGTCAGCAGAAAAAAATGTCATCCTTTTATATCAATGCACTCTGACATCAACTTAGAATAAATACTTGCCCTGTGACCTGGGTCATTTATGGTTGAAGTTGAAATACTTCTGGCTTTCAGTAGGCAATTAAAAACATCATCTTAATTCATTGAATTATTAATCTAATGCTTCTACAAACAGATACCCTTTTGTGTTTCCTTAATAGCCCATCAAAGTACCCTGTACTGCCCCTTGTTCTCAACTTTTTTCTCCAGAAACATACCTGAGGTAACTCCTATTAGTAGTATTAACAGCCCACCTCACGCAATGATTAAGAGAAGGGAAAGGGAAGATATTTTCATCTCCCATGAGATCAGGGCAGCATGTTCTGAGAAAGTATAGGCATGTTGAACTCTCCTAGACTATTCCAGTTTGTCCATCTTACATCTTCTCTTGAGCATTACTATCTCCTCCTGCTATGAGAACTTGATGAATGCTTTCTGGCTGATGTCATAAACAGTAAAATACAAAGCATTTTAACAAATTTTTTTTGTTGGAAAATTACTAACGTGTTTGCAACTGTAGAGAATATTTGCAACTGTAGAGATATACAGTTTGCAATTGTATGATTATTTGTTGTGACAAGATCAGTCATTTATCATTAAAAGATATTATTGGATGCCTGTTATATAATATTATTATGTCCTATAGAGTAAAAAGTGGATATTGAAAATTATAGGACTTTCTGTGATATATAAGAAATATAAATCAGTTTTAACTTATTAGGAAATGAAAAATATAAAAATGAAAATATAATTTATAAAAATTTTGGAAAAGTTAATTTGAAACTGATCCATACCAGCATGTGCAAGATTTTAAAGTTACATGATAAATTTTAGATAAATGATTTACAGGGCAAATAAACTCAAGGATCTCTGTGGTAGACTAATGAAATCAGTGCCTCATAACTTTTATAGCACTTACCAAAAAAGTTAGTGTAAAGCTGCCTGACCCACTCTTTGGAAGCTTTGACCAGATTGGAGCAAAGTCCAGACCCCTAGCACCAACCAGGTCTTTGAGCATCTTATCTTGGGCCTCCACCCAAACAGAATTCCCTTTGGTCATCTGTTTTCTCACAAACTCTCTTCTCCAAACTATAGTCCTGAGTCCCAACCTATTCCCTTGAATTTTCGGAGCTTTCTTTTCCTCATTCAGGTTTTTGGCAACTGTCTCATAGTCTACCTCTCTAGCTCACCTCTTACCATCAATTGCTTTATTTCCACAATTCTAAATACCTTTATTTCTTCTTCAGCAATTCACACATCCTTTTACAATACCCTGAAGTACTCCATCTCAAAATCACCAATTCTGATATACAATTTAGGAACAAGGACAAGTTACTATCAGTAGATATAAAAGGGTAGAAACTCTCCTTTCATCCCTACCCTTAAGTCCTTAAGCTGCACTGGGTTTGTCACTTTCCTCATCCAACCAAAGGCCTGTGGTGTAGCATATCAACTTTTTTTTGCCTCTTCCTTGCATGATAGCCCACTCTAAAAATCCACAAACTTGGATCAGCCCTCCCTTCTTTATCCTTCACTTTTATTCCTGGGCCACAACTAGAGAAGAGTCTACAGCTGTTCACATTAGCACTTCCAATTTACAAACCTCAGCAGGGGCCCAAATTCCCCTCACGATCCTTTTCTGTCCTACAGATCAGCTTCTTCCCCTCCTCACAGCAGCCTTCCAGATCTTCACCATTCTCCCAAAGCTGCCTCCACAATCCATATCCTCTGACTTTTGTTACCAAATAATCCTGGCTTTGAATGATGGCTCCAACATTTACTAGAGTATAATCCTTGATGTATTTAATGGTTTCCCTTCTTCTAATCTTCCTTCCTCTTTTTTTTTAATTTTTTAATGTTTATTTATTTTTGAGAGAGACAGAGAAGCAGAGTGCGAGTGGTGGAGGGGCAGAGAGGGAGACACAGAATCCAAAGCAGGCTCCAGGCTCTGAGCTGTCAGCGCAGAGCCCTACAGGGGCTCAAACTCACAAACCATGAAATCATGACCTGAGCCGAACCACCCAGGCACCCCTAATTTTGCTTCCTCTTAAACCCCTGTCCTAACTCTAATCATGTCAGCATCTCCATCTAAGATGCTTCCATGCTTCACATGATCCCAGGGTTAAATCCAAACTGCTTATGTGAACGTAGGAGGCCCTTCACCCCACAGCCTTTTTCCCTCTCTAGCGTCATCTGCTTCTCATCCCGAACTCTCACCATATTAAGCTATTTACTGCTTCCAGAATGAACATGAGATCCCCTACCTATGCCTGTGATTATTCGCCTTCCTAGAAGGTTCTTCCCTAACCACCACCATCTCCTTTCTCAGCCAGCAAAACTCCTTAGTCCTAAGACTCAGAAATTATGTCCCCTATGAAGACTTTTTCGGTGTCCCTAAAAAAGGTTGACTACTTAGTGTCTTTGTGCCATTTTAATATCCTATTGACAGCTCTGGAAATAATATTATTGCACTGGATCTGCAAATAATAATTTACCCTGAGAATTTTTTTTAGGTCACTTCTCTAGAAGATGGACAAGACAAAGAAGAAGAACAAAATATTCTTACCTTTTTTATTAATACATTTTTTTAGATTTAAGTTCATTTAGGTTCACCGCAAAATTAAATGGAAAGTATATAGAGTTCCCATATACCCACTGTCCTCACACATGTACAACCTCTCCTGCTATTGACATCTGCACCAAAGTGGTACATTTGTTACAACTGATAAACCTACTTTTGTTTTTTTTTTTTGTTTTTTTTTAAATATATTTTTTTAATGTTTTATTTATTTCTAGGAGAGAGAGAGAAAGACAGCGTGAGCAGGGGAGGGTCAGAGAGAGAGGGAGTCACAGACTGTGAAACAGGCTCCAGGCTCTGAGCTGGCAGTCAGCACAGAGCCCGACGCGGGGCTCGAACCCACGAACCGCGAGATCATGACCTAAGCGAAAGTCAGACGCTTAACCGACTAAGCCACCCAGGCGCCCCCTGATAAACCTACTTTGACACATCATTATCACTCAGGGTTATTAAGGATTCACTCTTCCTGTTGTATATTCTGTGGGTCTTGACAAATGTATAATTACATGTATCTACCATTGTCCTTTCATACAGAGTAGTTTCTATGCTCTATTCATCCCTCCCTCTATGCTATAACCTTTGATCTTTTTACTATCTCCATAGTTTTGTCTTTTCCAGAATCATGCAACCTTTTAAGATTGACTCATTTCACTTAGTAATATGCATTTAAATTCCCTCCTCGTCTGGTGGAATTTATTTGTCCATCCACCGGCTGAAGGACACCTTGATTACTTAAGGTTTTGGCAATTATGGATAAGCTGCTACAGACATCTATGCGCAGGTTTTTGTATGGGCGTAAATTTTCCCTTTACTTAGGTAAATAGCAAGGAGCATGATTGCTGAATTGTATGGTAAGAGTATGTTTAATTTTGGTAAGAAACTGCCAAGCCGTCTTCCAAAGTGGCTGTACCATTTTGCACTCCCACCAACAATGAATAAGAGTTCCCATTCCTCCACATTCTCACCAGGATTTGGTGTGGCCAGAGTTTTGCATCTTGGCCCTTGGTAGATGCGTAATGATGATATCTCATTGTTTTGGTTTGCACCTCTCTAATGACATATGATCTTGAATATCTTTCAGTATGTTTAGTTGCCATCTATATATCTTCTTTGATGAGATATCTGTTCAGGTATTTTGCCCATTTTTTAAACTTTTTGTTAATGAATTTTAGGAATTTTCTGTATAATTTGGGAAACAGACATCCATCAGACATCTTTTACAAATATTTTCTCCCAGTTTGTGGCTTATATCCTCATTCTGTTGACACTTTTTTTTTCTAATTTTCTCCCTTAAACATTTAAATGTAGAACATACCATATGATACTATTACCACATAATACAGTTGTATCTCTTTTTTAATGTTTGTTTATTTTGAGAAAGAGAGCATGTGTGTGCAAGCAGAGGGAAGGGGCAGAGAAAGAGAGGGAAAGAGAGACTCCCAAGAAGGTACCACAATGTCAGTGCAGAGCCCAACACTGGGCTCAATCCCACAAACTGTGGGATCATGACCTCAGCTGAAATCAAGAGTGGGACACTGAACCTACTGAGCCACCCAGGTGCCCCCAGTTTTATCTCTTGAGTGAGTACTGCATGTCAGAAAAATATCCAAAAGGAAACAAAAGAAATAGTCCTAGTCCATAGCCCACTGTGGTTTTGAATGAATAGAAGAAGTCCTCAGAAGTGAAACATCAGGAGCATTTTAGGAGCTCAGTCAGTTAAGCATCTGACTCTTGATTTCAGCTCAGATCATGATCTCATGGTTCATGGGATCAAGCCCCGTGTTGTGCTCTGCACTGACAGCACAGAGCCTGCTTGGGATTCTCTCTCTCTCTCACTTTCTCTCGCTCTCTCTGTACCTCTCCCATTCATGCACTCTCTCTCTTTCCTTCAAAATAAATAAATAAACATTTTTTTTAAAAAGTGAAGCATCAACTTTTTCACCCAAAAAAAAAAATGTGTCTTGTGTTTACTCATGGTATATCATTCTTGGAAGTACTAACACTCACAGTAAATAAGTGATTTCTTAAGCTAAGTGATGTAATATGCCAGAACTATAATATCAATACAACTAAATATATTGGTTAATAAAGTATTCTGCATTTTAGTAAAATACCATAAAAATCTAGTCAGTTTCATCTCTTGCTGTAAAAGGAACAGCTGTTTGTAAGGCTACAAAAAATTTGTATTCACATCAATTTGATGCAATTGATTCTTGTTCCTTAAATTAACATAAATATATTCCTTTAAAACAAACAACCCCATTTTGTAGATGAACAAACAGGTATAGGAAAGCAAAATAGCTTCCTAACACAGCATACAAGTTAGTACAACTGGGAGTAGAATGTGAATGTCAGATATCACCCTATTCTAGTATTTGTTCTTTCATACTACCATAAGCCAATCAGTGCCTTTGCCAGGGAAAACCTGCTCAGACACCTAGCAAATAACACAGCCATGGGAATAGTCTTGTAGTTTAATTCTGGAGAACCTGCATACACAGAGAGATTGAAAGAGAGAGAGACATTTTTGCCCTCAGCTAAGCACACAATAATTTAGGAATAATGGCAAGTTGCCCCTTGGTAGATATGAAATAGAGTATAAACATAAGCAATTTCAAGTGACAGAGTTGAGTATGATTTAGCCAAGGAAAAACACCTTAGAATTGAATTTTATTCTGAATTCCAGAGGAAAAGCAGGAACTGTCAGAGTGAATAATTAGAATGTTTATAAACAGAGTAACCAGAATGGATTGGTGATAGATTTACCTGAATCAAAATTTCTAGGCTATTCAAGGTGTAATTGAATCATTTGATCTAAGCAATACCTGTTCTGGTTGGATAAAAGCTTTCTGTTCCATTTTAAGGTAGAATAAATTCAGTGATTATTGTGCTAATGGAAAATGTTAATTCTCATACACTGGAACAAGTCTAATATTCACGAACATTGAACTAATCTTTGATTGATGGGATATTGTCCATAATTATACACTATATAAACTTGTTCAAGGAATACCTCTTAGGTACCTACTACCAACACATTATCACTTTTATTTATCGGATTTCAGGATGAATTTAATGAAATAGATTTTTTTAATGGCTCTAGGTTAAAAGTTGATTAGTCATTCTACAATGTGTGTATAAACTGGAGTTGCTGTTAGAAAGGATTTTCTCCTTATTGGAAAAATATGAAAGATGCCATTCCATAGCAAAGACTCGTTCAGAGGAATTCTTTTAGTGCCAGTGATGTGGCTAAATAAAAATGGTATAACTTTTAGTACAGACTGCTTTTATTTGCCTGAATGACATTGTATGGTCAGTATCGGGACATGGGGAATATTCAGGAGTAAAAGAAAGCATCTCTTTTATGTTAAAGATAGGTTTATTAATTGGTAGCTGAAGACTGCCTCAGCAAATATTTATTTGATGGACAGATGGATGGAGGGATGGATGGACATACATATAATAGATATTGAGCTTGTTTCTCTAGGTCTGTTTCTTTTATTTTCAGTGTTAAAATATCTGCTCTGATTTCTCAATTCATACATCAGAGGTACTATCAACCCACAAAATTAGACTTCAAAAATAGACCTTATCTTTTTCATCTGCCCTTTTCCCCACTGCGAATACCAGCTTCTTAGTCTTCTTTTCTTTTCCCTGGAACAACCCAACCTCTAGACTTCCTATAATAAGAACATAAGGTGGTAGTAGTGGGAACCGCAGAATGCCAAGATATTTTCCATGTCTACTTTATTCTTTGCACAATTTTCACTACCCTGTAGTTTTAAGAGATGATCAGGTGATCAAGTTTGTTTTCATTTACTCTATATTCTGTAGTTATCATGTGATGTAAAACTGGATCCTCGCCCTGAATACCATCGCTGTATATTGACTTGGCATCACCAAGAACCACTGCCTTGGGCACAGAGCACAGGTTAGTCATTCACACCTGTGGGTATTTCTATCCATGTATCCTGTTAAAACACAAAATTTATATGTAACCTCCTTTCCTGGGTACACCTAATGTAATTATTGTACATTTTCCTTTTTGAAAGATTAGATGAGTTAATCTAATTAACTCATTAATATGCTATCTTAAGTTATTCCTAAACAAGACAGCATAAGAAGAAAATAAGAGTAAAAATTTTTAATAAAGATTTACTTATTCCATGCGCCATATTTTCTAGATAAGCATTTGAAATACAAATCTAGAATTATGGAAGATTTTTATCTATTTGTTCAACCTCTAAGTTCTAGGCATAACTTTGGTTGTAAAAAGGGGGGTACTATGGCTATGCTACTCCGAAATGTGAGATTAAAGCTCAACTATAATGTGATTCTCTGTAGCCTCTTAAATATTGGTAAATTTTAAGCACTGAGAAATCAATATCGGTAACTCAAGTTTTCTACGGTTACCACCTCTAGACTTTCAACTTTTATCCCCAAGTATTCTAGTCATATTTATATAACTTCTGATGTGTCTCCAGAAAACTGTATTACCCTTTAAACAAAGGTCCTATCAAGTGCAAACATCAGGTAACAGAGTAACTAAGTACATAGGCAGTGTCTCCTCCAGACTTGCATTCAAACTGGCCAACAATGAGTTAGTAGGACTGTAGGCAAATTACCTAACCTCTTTGAGTCTTGTATAAATTAAATAAGATAGTTAAGTAAAATGCCCACCACAGTCTGGTAATTAATAAATACTAAAGAGATGATAGCCGCTGCTATTATTATCTTTTTTAAAATAAGTGTTAAAAGCCTCTCTTTTCAGGCACACGTAACATTTTTAGCCTGAACTGAGAAATTCTGTGGCATTTTGCATCATGCTATAAAATCCTATTTTATTCTTTTTAGGCAATAATGTCTCCAGTTTATTTTTAAAGTTTAGTGAGAAGGTAGTAGGAGACCATGGCAAGGCCACCTGGAAAAGGTCCTGAGGGGCCCAGCCTTCCCTCTTCCTCTTGAAGACCTGTGTTTCTGTCCTTTGGTGTTTATTTTGAAGAGAACTGCAGGGGCTCCAAATGTACACACTGTGCTGCTTCTGCTGCTGTAACGAGATGCTTCTTTCCAGGTAATCAGATGAGCAGCCGTCTGATGAGCATGCGCAGCGCCAACGGATTGCTGATGCTACCTCCAAAGACAGAGCAGTACGTGGAGCTCCACAAGGGCGAGGTGGTGGATGTCATGGTGATTGGACGGCTATGATGTCACCGGAGGGAGAGAGCTTCGATGCATGTCCACATATCATTGACTGTATCCTGTAATATGCAACGGCACAGCTAGTTTTTCTGATTTGGATAAAAGTTGATCTGTATAGTCAACATCTTGAACTATATTTCAAAAGAATTTAAATACCTTTTAAAGAAAAAAAAACACCTAAAAATAAATCTTAACAGACAACTCTATTCTGATTATATCAAAGCAAATTTTTTCTTTCTTGCAAATTGCTTTGTGTGTTCAATGCTAGGTCTGATAGCGATAGCTTTTAGTAGACAGCAGTAGGTGCCTGCAGAACTTGTGTTTTTCTCATCTTTAAAATACAACTAATTATGCTCTTAATCAAGGCTGTCTGCTTATTTATACTAGCGTAGGCAACACTTGGATTTCCCTTCTTAGTATGCTTCATAACCGCTTTTCAGAGAGCTTTTGCTTGTTCTTTATCATGTATCTCGTGTTTATGTGCACAGTGCCAACAGAAGAGTGACCGGGTGGAGGCCCGGCCCTGCCGCAGGGAGCACCCTGCCCTGCAGAGCGCCCGGGAGGTGCCTCACCCCGGTAGCCTCATGGCACAGTACTCTGGGGCGGTAACTGGATACCTTTTATTTGAATAAACAAACTGGGGGGAAAATGCTTCCTTAAGTGCTGACAGCCTTTTTAACCAATACATTTAAAATTGTACAGAACAAAAAATAAAATCAAAGACTGATCTTGTACAGATATTAGTGTTACCAGCATTCATGTGGAAATCAAGAGCAAAGAAAAAATAATGTTAAACAACTCTGTACCATAACATTTTCTGTAATGATACCGAAACTTAATGAATAAAAAAATCCTTGATCATTATTTAAAAATCTCTTGTGTTGGCGTCTTATTAAAAGAGAAAAGAATGTCACATGCCATTCTGATGGGATTCTGCTTGGATAAAAGGAATAGTTAAGATGATATGACAAGAGTTAAGTATTATAAAGGTGATTGACATGTAGTATAATATATTCTGGGGCACCTGGGTGGCTCAGTCGGTTAAGCATCCAGCTTTGGCTCAGGTCATGATCTCGTGGTTTGTGGGTTTGAACCCCACATTGGGCTCTGTGCTGACAGCTTCAAGCCTGGAGCCTGCTTTGGATTCTGTGTCTCCCTCTCCCAACCCCTTCCCTACTCATGTACTCTCTCTCTCTTGCACTCTCTCTCTCTCTCTCAAAAATAAATAAACATTAAAAAATGTCTTTAGTATATTCTGCATTTTACTATAGTGTTGTGATATACAGCATTGTGAAAATACAAATTGGAAAATACAAAACAACCTACAGTCAGTCTGGTCTTTCCAGTAATGGCTAGAGAATAGCAAGCAAATTTAGAGGGAGAAAACTTGATACAGAGGAAAAGAAACTAATTTCTTATTAGAGATGCAATAAAAGCAAATTTCAAACATCTAAAGTTCTTTGGAATGGAGAAAAAAACAAGAACTAATGAACCACAATATACCAGATGAGTAACTGGAAATTTTTTCATGTTAGGAAGTGAGAAATGGGAAAATTCTATGCTACACGTAGAAAATATACAAACAAAATATACTCTATCCACATAGCTCCTGTAATAAAAACTTTTTATTTAATGTTTTATTTCTGAGAGGGAGAGAGACAGCATGAGCAGGGGAGGGTCAGAGAGGGAGACACAGAATCTGAAACAGGCTCCAGGCCCTGAGCTGTCAGCACAGAGCCCAATGTGGGACTCGAACCCATGAACCGTGGGATCATGACCTGAGCCGAAGTCGTACACTTAACCAACTGAGCCACCCAGGCGCCCCAGCTCCTGTAATAAAAACTTAAAGGCACTTTCTAACTGGCCGTAACAAGGGACATTAAAAAATCCTGTAGGGTGTACTTAGCAAAGCAAACAACAAAAATTGGGCAACTAGTGAACAAGGTACCAAATGATGATGATGAATAAAGCCAAGTAGTAAATAAGGAAAATTTGATAGTGATATTTGATATTTCCAGAGGTGAAAATAAAATGATCTTGGGGCGCCTGGGTGGCTCAGTCGGTTGAGCGTCCGACTTTGGCTCAGGTCATGATCTCACGATTCGAGGGTTCGAGCTCCGCATCGGGCTCTGTGCTGACAGGCAGCTCAAAGCCTGGAGGCTGTTTCAGATTCTGTGTCTCCCCCTCTCTCTCTGACCCTCCCCTACTCATGCTGTCTCTCTCTCAGAAATAAATAAGACAGAAAAGAAAAGAATATATATTTTTAATCTTTTATATTTTCAGTTAAAGAACATAAGATTAATTACTAGAAGTTAAATGAAAGATCATGCAAAGTTTTCTTTACCTACACCCATTCATTCATTAAGCATCTACTATGTGCTTGGGTACAAGGTACATCCTGCTACTATTTACAAGGATGAAAGGGATAACAGCTGACACTATACTTCATCAAGAGAAAAAACAAAACTGTACAAGTAACCATAAAATTTAATATGGTTGATATTTGATAATATGTAATAGAGTGTGTAGAATGTGATAAATGCTATAATTCAGATTTAAAGAATTGGAGGAGTTCAAATGGGAACCTCCTACAAGGTAGGATTTCAAGGGGCAGGATGGCATTTTGTTGGATCTTGAAGGAAGGGTAGAATTTTAACGATGATGATGCAAAAGGAAAGGTATTATGGAAATGGAATTATGGACAATTAATAATAATCATTTTTATTATAGAATGTAAGTTCCGCAGAGCAAAGATTTTTGTTTACTTTGTTCACTGGTATTATGCCCAGGTCCTTAGAAGAGTTCCTGACATATATATACATGTGGGCCTCAGTAAATATTTGTCCAATGAAACACATACTACAGAACTTACTATATGCCAGGCACTTTCTGAGCACTTTTCATATGTTTAATTTTCACAACAACAGTATTAGGGTTATTATTTATTATTTCTATATTACAGATGAGGAAACTGAGGCACAAAGAAGTTAAGAAACTTGTCCAAGGTCACACAGCTAGTTAGAAAAAGAGCTAGGATTTGAATTTAGCAATCTGACTTCAGAGTCCATACTCTTTTTCTTTTCTTTTCTTTTTTCTTCTCTTTTCTTTAAGAGAGAGCATGCATGAATAGGGGACAGGCAGAGAGAGAGAGAGAGAGAGTCTTAAGCAGGCTCCACGCCTGGCCTGGACCTCGATGCAGGGTTCCATCTCACGACCCTGGGATCATGATCTGAGCCGAAATCAAGAGTTGAATGCTTAACCAACTGAGCCACCCAGGTGTTCTCAGAGTGCATACTCTTAAACACCAAGTTACAGAAACAGAAAATTGATACATTTGTAAGACCAAAAAAGTACATGTTTGAGGCCCAAACTCTGAAGTTCTTGAAAACCAGATTAAGGAGTCTAGATCGATTCTAGAGATAATCAAACTGTTAGAGACTCCTAAACAGGGAAGTGTTAGCATCAGAACTGTCCTTCTAGGGAAACTGGCCTGGCAGCATTGAGGAGGATGGATTGGATTGAGGAGAAACTGGAATGAGACACCAGCTAAGAAGTGATCTGGTGGTGCAGGTGAGGGGTGAAGAGAGCCTTAACCTTAGAGAAGTGATGATGATGGGAAGGTCATCACAGATGGAAAGAATTTGATTACTGATTTCAAGTTTTGGAAAGGAAGCTATTCATAGTAAGAGATCAATCAAAGTCCTAAGTCTTGGCTGACTGAGAAAATGTGAAGACATTAACAAAAATAATAATAATAATAATAATAATTTTTTGGAGGAGATGATGAGTTTGGATATGTATTTGAGATGGTAGAGGAATACTAAGGTAGATATGTCCTGTTGGCATTTGAAAGCATAGGTTAGGAGTTCACAAAAGAGATACCATCTGGATGTAATCTTGGGATTATATGACATGTGGTATTTGAAACACAAGGATAAATGGGAAAGATTAACAGGAGTAGAGGAGAGGGCCTTGGGGAGCTCCTTACTTTGAAGAATTAGAGGAGAAAGACCATAAGTGGAATGAAAAAAAGAGTAGTTTGTAGAAGAGAAGAAACCAAATAGTGCAATGTCCCAAAAACCAAGAAGTGTTTCAAGAAGGAAGGATAATCAACTGTCAAAAACAAGAATGTCAAGCGTGAAGGCTCAAAAAGATTTGCTAATTGGGCAATCATTTGTGAGCTGCAAGAGTGCAATTTCAATAGTGGGTTGAGAGCGAAAGCCAGATTACAAAATAGACACTGTCAATATGAAGTATTTGGAACTTGTACATGAGAAAAGATAGATACTTGGATGGTAGCTTGGACCGATAACAAGGTGGAAGAAAGATTTCTGTTTGTGAGTTTTGAGAAAGGAGGAAAACAGTAGTGGGCACATTAAAAATGCAAGAACAAGTTTCCAGATGGAGAAAGAAGAGGAAGGAAGGGTTGAATTTAAGGATGCTGGGGACTTAATTAACCTGAAGTAGAAATGGAACATTTTTTCTTGTGAGTTAAAAAAGACAAAAATATATATGAATACACTTGAAGTGGATACAAGGGAAATTTAATTTAAAATTTAAGATTCAATGAAATGGTTCTACGTGGCACAGTGGAAGTCAATGCCTTTCATCTATTTGCATTTATTTGACCTAAGTTATTTTAGAATTACACATATATGATCTATTACCCTTTTATGTCTTAGTTGATACTTAAACAAAAGACTATAGATGATGTCTTCAGATTCTTGCTTATAACTACATGGAAGTCAAGCAGTTCTTTTTTAACCTATTTTTGGTTCAATCTTTTAGTTATTTCAAACCATATCACACAATGAGAAAAAGAACGTAAGCACATAAGTGCACCAAGAAAATGCTATTGAGTGATGTTGCAGGTACAACAAGTGGATTCTTCGGATGGCTTTCATTTTTAAAATTATTTCCTAATGAGGAAAACTTTGTGGATCTGACCCACAACCAATTCTTGGTCTTCATGAAACTCTATATAACAAGGTAAGTCTTTATTATTCCCAAATATAGAAAGTGGATATTTGCATATGTACAGAATTCAAAGCAAATAAACTATGTATCTTGTTATTCCAATGATGATGGACCTGAGTTAAATAATGCATTGCATTCTAACATGCTTATAGGAAGCATTAAGCTGGACTCTAACAGAGAATTACATTGTTACAATGTTTATCAATAACTTGGCCTAGAGACAAAAGGCTACAGAATTGCTTGATTTTGGCCATTTTGTATAACCAGTTACCAATATTTCTCCTGTAGTACTTTTGCAATAACTCAATAATTTATTTAACAAGCATTTATTAAGTCCCTGCAATATTCCAGGCTCCATGCTTAGCACTGAGGATACAGTGATGAATGAGACAAAGACTCTGACATCCAAGTAGAGGAGATAGATTTTGAGAAAGAAAAAAAAATCATTTGAAATACAGATTATGAAAAGTCTATGAAGAAAATCCAATGATATGTTAGAGATTAACTGGGTAGAGGCCTAAATCGTATTTGGTTGTTGTGTCAGAGTGCAGCCATTAATAAAAAAGGGAGAAATCAAAAAAAAAAAAAAAAAAGAAAAAGAAAAAGGGAGAAATCATATCATATGAGACTTTAATGTAGGAATAAGTTAAATAGGTGTTAGAGACCTCGAAAAGCACAAAGGAAACATTAAGATGTCAGAGGAATAACTACAGGAAGCAACTATCACAACTGGGTCTGGGTGACAGGAGGAAGAGTTTAGAGTAATCAGAATCTAGAAGCTTAAAGTCAGAGCCTTTGGAGCTAGGACTCAACCTTTTAAGAAGTGGGCACTCCCCAGCTGCTAATTCTGAGGGGGGTGGGGGAGAACGGAGGCTAGAACCAGTTGC